TATTCAGCCCATTGATCACCTTTATGCTGCTGAGATTCATGTGAAATATTGGTTCTTCGACTCTATCTCCACAAACGTTCACTGCACGATCCCAGCATCTGGGAGGACAGGCAGAGTTGCATGGAGGTATCATCATGGGCCCTGGCCTTCCAGGAGTTGACACATGACATTGGCCGCTGATGTTCACATTTATTTATTCATTCACCCAATCTGTCTTCCCGTCTGCTTAGTTCTAGTAGAACATCCTTACAGGGCTCTGTCTCCCTGGCCACAGTTGCTTATTCTAAAGTGGGCTGTAGACTTCCCCAGGAATGGAGAGAGAGGCCAGGTTTGCTCCAAGTATGGGCTTTGTGAGATGTATAATTCAGCGGCTGTCACATTGAGAAAGTGGTGACAAGAAAAGAGGAGCTGAGACGAAGATGGAGGGAGAGTGTGTCCTAGTTCGCCTTGTTCCTGAAAGAGGAGTGCCCAGCCCCTTGTGAAGGTTGGTAGTTAGCCAGTGTTTTAGGGCTGGTGTGCAGAAATAAATTGCCTACCTTTGTTCAAGGTAGTAATGGTTCTTGCCTAATAGATATTTTCCTTTTCTTTCATATACCAGTGATTTTTAGCTGCCCACATAGTTACCCAAAAGGAAGACAGTATTTCCTGGGTGATAATAAGACGAAGTCCTGGCCAGTAGGACAACAGCAGAAAGCTGTGTGTAATTTCTGAGTTGTGCCCTTAAATAAAAGATGGGTATTCTCCTGCCCACTTGCCTTTTCTCCATTGGTGATGACAATGGCATTGACATGGTGATAACCTTGTAGCATAAAAATGAGGACAGTAGCCAAGGGACAGGAGAGCAACAAGCTCAAAGGTACTGGCCCCTCACATCAGGCAGCTGCCATGTCAGCCCAGGGTGCCTACATCAAAGGACTTTACATGGCAGAGGAAAAATGCTTTATTAAGCCTCTGTAACCTTTAAAGCCTCTGTATTCTAGGTCACTCATAGTAGCTGAAATTATATTCTAAATAATATAGAGAGCTTTACTCTAAGTAACTAATTCTAAATAATAATACAGTGAATTATCTTCTAAAAAACCCCCAAAGTCCTGAATAATTGTATCATTTATTGAGTACCTACTGCATGCCAGGTTCTGGTGGTACCAGTAAAGAAGAAAACCAAGCCAGTCTCTGTTCTCCAGTGATGGCAGTTTAGTAAGGCCACATGGACACTAGTTAATTAATTACACAAAAGCTTTGTAATTACAATTGTAACAAATTTGATGAGGGAGAGAGTACTGTGGCTGCAGATACCCTATGTAAAGTGGATTCACTTGAAACATAAGTAGATTACATTCAGTGAGAACGTGCAGAGCAGACAGTGGACTGGCAGAGAGGAATGACCTTTGTGAAGTCCCCAAGAAGGGACTGTCTTTGCCACAGACTCCCCTCAGCATGCACTCCAGGTGCCTGGCTTTGTTTCTGCAAAGCGTCATTCCCGAAGGGAGGCTGGCTGGTCCTTCCTTGGTGCAAGGGCGGTGCATTTGACCTTGACTGCCCTGTTACCTGCGGAGCATGTGGACCAAAGAGCCAGAGGCATGGCGCACACACTGTCAGAGACGTGGGAAGGGGATGAATCAGAATAACAAGAGAGAAGGAAGAGAATGATTCCAAACAGAAGAGGCAAGCGATGACATGATGAAGAGGAAAAGAAATTGGGAGTTGATAGAAAGTCACAAAGATAAATCTTGAGTCCTCGTCCCAAGTGTCACTTGCCCCCTCAGACATATCAGCATATCAGTCGAGACTCTGTTGGAATAAAACAATCTGAATCCAAACTGGGTTAAGCAGACAGGGAGAACTGACTTTTAGCTGAGAGGTCCAAGTTCCCCCTTTGCAGCAGTCTGGAAAAAAAAAACGTAAATGATGTGACTTAGATATAAATCCAATCCCTTCCTCCTCTCTGGTGTAGAATTTCCTGCGTGTTGCTTCATTCTGTTGGGCTGCAGTAGCTTCAGGTTTAGTTTCCCAGTGTAGCAATTTCAGTGGAAGAAAAGTATTTTTTCCCAATATTTCAACCAATAACCTCCAGTCTGGAGCTTATGGGTCCAGTGTGGATTGCGTGCCTGGATCTTACCAAGACCCAGTAACTATGGGGTGGGTTTACCCTTTCCCAGTCTGGTGTAAGTGGGTAGCAATTAGAAGTCAGTCTTTTCTCATTATTCTTACCTCTACCCTCAACCATCCGAGAATGGGAAACTATGGTTTTTCAAAGGAAAAAATAAATACATCTTTAAATCTAAAGAGTAAGGTAGTAGTTATGCAAAAAGAAACTGGTATCTACACAAAACACAACAATAGTAATTTCTGGCATTGCTCTAGTCCCTAACACTATATTGGACCTTCCCACATTTCACTTTCTCTCACAGTAGCCCAATCGTAAAATAAACATCCATGTCTCCGTTGTGTAGATGAGGACATTAAGGCTAAGTGAAATGAGGTTGTTTTTGAGGTTAGTTGGATTTAAACCGGGATCCATCCGACTCCAGACTTTGTATCCCTTCTGCCAGACCACATCTTCTCTCTTGCTAGCGACCTGAAGCTTCTACCGTTCTGGGCCTCAGTATTCTCTTTAGTAAAATGGAGACCTTCCTTACCACCTTATTTTGAGTGTGGAGCAGTATATACTTAATAAATGTAAGCTGTTGCAATCGGTGGGTTGCTGGGCTCCTGGGAGTCTAGTCAGGGAAGCCAGTCTGATAAAGCACCTCTAATTATCTCCCTCACCCCTGCCATTTCCAGAGTGAAGCAGGGGAGGGTTCTTTCCAGTTCTTTCAGGCAGATTCTTCATCTTCTTGTCTTATGCAGAGCTTCCAGTGTTAAGAATTCTCTGGAAACAGTCAGCTCGTGGGATTCTGAGAAGTCCATCTCCACGTCCTAAATGGTAATTTGTCCGACGTGGAGATGGGGGCCACTTGGATTCCAAGAGGCTGGAAGGGTTGAGAGGACTCCAAGTGTCCAGAGAAGGACTGGCCTTTGACTCTATCACCATGGCTCCTCCTCTGCCTTCTCTTCTCCCGCTCCCCCCCCCCCTCCCCCCCCCCCCCCTCCCC